AAGGTAACACTGGACAACAAAGTAACATTGGACAACAGAGTAACACCGAACAAAAAGGTAACACTGGAACAATAAAGTAACACTCGACAATAAAGTAAAACTGGACAACAAGGTAACACTGGACAACAAAGTAACACTGGACAACAAAGTAACACTGGACAACAAAGTAACACTGGACAACAAAATAACACTGGACAACAAAGTAACACTGGACAACAAAGTAACACTGGACAACAAAGTAACACTGGACAACAAAGTAACACTGGACAACGAAGGTCATAACAAAGTAACACAGTACAGACCAACGGCTAGACTAGAAAGATGACATAACACCTACAGTACTTGGACTAGGAAGTTTCTGTTTGTCTGTTTTGGTTCTCTCAGTCTGATTGCTACTTCAAGGTCATACTGGATGATGAAATTAGAAAAAAAAAGATTGATTCTCAAAACCTCTGTGATAAGTTATTTTTTTTTTATGTCTGGCTTTAAAAGAATCTGCAGTATATATTTCTTAAGGTAATGTCTGCTATGGCTGTAGAGTTTGGGCGGTGGGTCTTGGCAAGATTAGGAAGCTTATGCCACCTGACAATGAAACACCAGACTAATACTATTATAAATGGGTAGATTAAGTTAGGTTATTCATTCTGCTTTTCTATAAATCTTTAACTTCCCAACATTTACTACAATATTACTGACTAAACAATGTAATTTTTTGGAGGTATTTCTCGTAGTGTGAAAGGGGGTGTAGCTCAGTGGTAGAGCGTTCGCTTTGCATGTGAAAGGCCCCGGGTTCGATCCCCGGCACCTCCAAGAACCTTGGTGGGGATGTAGCTCAAATGGTAGAGCGCTCGCTTAGCATGTGAGAGGTACGGGGATCGATACCCCGCATCTCCAATGTTCTTTTATTTTTCTAATAATTATGAAATTTGTAATTATGTTAATGACTGAAAGATGAGACACCCCAACTTACTTCATCTGATGATTAAATACCCTAACGCTACCTGCGGAGTTAGATTAGGATAGGTTAAGATAGATTAAAGTAAGTCAGGTTAGATATGTTCAGGTTCAGTTGGGCTAGATTAAATTAGGTTAATGTATGTCAGATTAAATTAGGTATATTTAGGTTAGGTACGTAGGGATTAGTTTAACGTAAGTGTAGTTAATCATAGACAAAAAAATTAAATTGGTAATCATCATTGGTAAACATCTACAGTAATCCAAGTTAATGAAAGTTAAATTACCAATCCAGAATCAGATTTACCTGTGCAATTTAAAAAGGTTTACTTGAGATGCGGGGTATCGATCCCCGGTCCTCTCACTAAGCGAGCGCTCTACCAATGAGTTACATCCCCACCAAGGTTCTTGGAGGTGCCGGGGATCGAACCCGGGGCCTTTCACATGCAAAGCGAACGCTCTACCACTGAGCTACACCCCCTTAGGTTGTTACGTTGAATGAGCTCACACTCGGTGCCGTCACAACACTCTCTGGCAGATTCTTTCAAAAGTTGCTAATTCTCACTTCACAGACTGATTAGTGGTGAAAAGTAAAGTAAAATAGATATGACGTTAACAGTTGTTTATGTATTACAAGAGTCACTCCCTTAATTAATTTATCATAGAAAATGGTTTAGATCGGTGTTTCCTTAAAGAGGCAGACTCTGATATATTTGACCTGAACGTGAAAAATACAATAGACTTGCCAATAGAACTAACACTTTTGGTTATTTAAATACATATTGCCTTCCTTTTATCTGTTTAACTCCCTTCATATGTTTACTGCAACTTTTCTTAATTCTTAGGAGTTAATAAATAGCTTAAGAGTTTTTACACTGATTTAATTACGTTACTAATAAGGCTTTATGACAAATGATATTAATATATATATATTTTTTAATTTTATTCATATATATTAATGCCTCAAATCACATTATGAACTGGAATTAGTATTTTTTGTAAACAGAGGATTCGAACGTGTATATCGCTGCATCGCTGAGTCATATGAATCATGAAACCGGACGTAACATTCTTGTATCTTATATCCTTGGCAATAAGACAAATACAAATGCCTTACAATGTTTCAAATATACTAGAACACGATGCGGCCTCTCCAAAAAATTTGTCAGGTGCCGCCAGAGCGACTGTGCCTTGACATATGTGTGTTGTCCGTCCTTATCAAGGGGAGTGCTAACCTTCTCTCCTTTCGTACAACACGTTCACTTAGAGAGACATTCTTCATTAAATCACTCTTTCCGTGAAGTGTAAACGGGAAACGGGGGCGGGTTGAGGAGGATGAGGGCGTTCGAGGTAAGAAGGAAAGGGAGAGGGTTAAGAATTAAGTTACTAGTGCAGTTAGAACACAACGTTTATTAAATAAGAAATTAATTTTCCTCCCTGAACCGAGGTGTTGGTGGTACCGACCTCCTACCCTCTATTGCAACCACTCCTCCTACCCTCTATTGCAACCACTCCCCCCTACCCTCACTCCCCCCTACCCTCTATTGCAACCACTCCCCCTACCCTCTATTGCAACCCTCCCCCCACTATTCCCCCCCTACCCTCTTGCAACCCTCCCCTATTGGAATCACTCCCCTACCCTCTTGCAACCACTCCCCTCCCTCTATTGCAACCACTCCCCTACCTCCATTGCAACCACTCCCCCTATTGGAATCACTCCCCTACCCTCTATTGCAACCACTCCCCCTCCCCTCTATTGCAACCACTCCCCCTACCCTCTATTGCAACCACTCCCCTACCCTCTATTGCAACCACTCCCCTACCCTCTCTTTGCAACTACCGTAGCGGTCGGTTGGCGTTTCTCCGCAGTCAGTCAGCCCCAGTTACTTTTTTTGTAATAACTGAGGCTGTGAAGTCATTTCTGCTTAGATAATGGACATGCATTCCTGACACGTGCGTGCTTATACGTGAAAGTATTGCTTAAATCATATAATTTTAATTCAGTTAAGTGAATGTTACACTAAGGTCAGGATGTTGTGTGGATGATATTTATATTAATACAGTTTAGTGAGTGTAAGCCGCCCTTGCGGCAAACGAGTCGATCAGTGGCGAAGAGGCTAAAGGTAAAGTAAAGGTAAAAACGTGACCAAGATCATCTTTCTAATCAGAAGGGTATTTGGGGCACCAGAGGCAGCATATAAATTGTGAACAGACAGCTACACTCCTGATACTTGATGTACAGTATACAATGCCCATAATAAACCCTATAACTGATGTGTTTGGGAAGTCTAATGTTCAAAGCTTTAAGACTGGCAAATTCATTTTCACATAATTTGAGTTGACAAACTCGTCACTTTGTTAGAGTGCAGTCCTGGTACAGTTATTCATACTTCTAGACTCTGGCCATTGTAGACAATATAGACAGCACTTCTCTCTACTGCCGCCCACTTCCCTTACTGTAAAGGCGTAAAGCTCGAAGAGGATAAGATAAGAATGTATCATGGCTGAGGGTTTTAGAAAAAACAATATTTGTGTCACCCCAGAATGTCCACCTGAAGAATCGTCACCCCAGGATACCCCACCTGAAGAATTGTCACCCCAGCCTGCTCCACCTGAAGAATCGTCACCCCATCCCAGTGAATATAATTTGTATAATTAGGATAACATAAATATATGCCTTTGTGTTATGCATCTTTATTGTGAAAAGTTTAAAGAAAAAAATAAGAATATACACCTAACCTACCCCACCTGAAGAATTGTCTCCCCAGGTGTTGCCACCTGAAGATTCATCACCCCAGGATATCCCACCTGAAGAATTGTCACCCTGCCAAACTCTGGGGTGACAATTCTTCAGGTGATCCATACTGTACAGTTCATTGGTTTTATTCATTCCTATACAGTATTGATTTAAATAAATATACATACAGGACTAACAATTTCATATATAACCGTTTGAAAATCTGGTATCTGCTAATAGACCATCGGCTGTGGAAATATAATGTTTTTATAATAAAAGTTTGCTTCATTATATCTTAATTAATTTAATTATTATATAAACAAATGCATGGAAGTCGAATATAATGTTACTATCAGTCGCCACTCACCAGCTCCGCTCACCACGGTATCTCAGAGCGCTCTGCCGGGAGTGCCGTATGACATGTTGGGCAAACACTTCATTTTTACCGAGACTTCACTTTAAACTGCTGCACCGGGGCTACCCAAGTCTACTTTTTCTTTTATCCTCTTCACCACTGATCGGCTTGTTAGCCGCCCGGGCGATCGGTCACGTCTCTGTCACGCACTGTTGGCAAGTACCGGGCATGCATCGGCTCCTGAATGTACCTGAACCTGCTCCAGTGTTGGTCAAGTCTGGTCTTGAAAGAGCTCACACCTTGAGCTGTGACCCTTGTGGGGCGAGCCGATCAGTGGTAAAGAGGATAAAAGTAAAAGTAAGTAATATAAATGAGGAAGAGGATGAGTCTAGACAAAACCCGCGGGAGACGAGACTCTATAATGTTACAATTTAAAACCGGAGAAAGTATTTTTTTACAATTAAATGTTTCAAAACTTAGTAAATCAACCTACCATAAATTTACCATAAATTTAATTGGTTACATTACATTAGGCTATGTATTTCTTATTGGAGGTAGAGCGATATACTGGTTAGTTCAGCTTCCTCCCATACTAACACTGGGCAGTAAAGCTTAGAACAAAGTATCAAAGAATAGTCTAAGCTGTGAAAGTGTGAAACAATATATTAAAAAAAAATAATAATAAAATATATGATAATCTATTGTTCGTGGTATATTTAAACATCAGTCAACCCAGAATGTAAACAACAGCTTCTCCTGAAATGCAAAATTTAACTAAACAAATAAAATTACATATACCGTCTCCATTAATGTTATTTGGTGTGTTACTGTCTTGTGTATTAAATAATTAACTTTAAATCAAGATATTACACTTCACAAGTATAAATATTCAACATCCGAACTGAGATAACCTTTAAAGATCTTCCTTGGCTCACTCTTGTTCACATGACCGTAATGTCTCTGTTCCTTACTACAGTCACCCACTACTGTCTACACACATTTGGAACTTAATATCAATCTATCAATACATATTTCTTCCTATTTGTCTATACACCTACATAATTATTAATTTTTCTGTTGTTTTAGGTGATTTAGTAGATTTTCGCCGTTCCTTAGAAGAACACTAACAGCTGATACATAACACAGACTCACTCAAGTGTCTTAATTACCACCATTATCACCTGACCTTAATTACTTGGTGTGAGGTAAGTTAATGAATGTGATAATTGACACCGAAAGTTGAACATTCACGTAATAGTTGATTTACGGCTGGGGAGACTATGTAACCGGGTTAAGTTAGGCTGGATAAATTAGATCACCTGAAGAATCTCCAACCCAGCTTATTTTATCTAAAGATTAATCACCCTAACACTATTTGGGGGTGGGGGTGAGGTTTAGGGTAGGGTAGGTTAGCATTAGGCTGGTTAATCCTTAGGGTAGGTTAGCATTAGGCTGGTTAATCTTTAGGGTTGGTTAGCATTATGGTGGTTAATCTTTAAGGTAGGTTAGCATTAAGCTGGTTAATCTTTAGGGTAGGTTAGCATTTGGTTCTTTAATCATCAGGTGAAATAATCTGGGGTGGAGATTCGTCGTGCAATCCAAAAACCCATTCATTATTATTATTATTATTATTATTAGTATTAGTATTAGTAGTAGTAGTATTAGTATTAGTATTAGTATTAGTATTAGTATTATTATAATATTTTTGCCCTCCAGGCCACGATGTGGGTCAGTAATCTGTGCCCATGTGAACTAATGCCCGTAAAGAGAAAGAAAACAAAAACAGAATCGCTAGGTTTGGTTCCTCAGCTAACTCTAACCAAAGGTATTATCAAAAAAATATAAGTTATCTGGTAATACTTTAGAAGAGGTGCACAGGTTAAAGAGCAGTAAAGATTCGTTTTACGCCCAACTGGGAATTTTATTACAAATTTACAGTAATTATTATATGTTTATTGTGATTTGAATACATATAAACTTTATTTTGGGGGCTAATGTTTATTTTTTTCAGATATGACCCTAATTTGAAGATTGTGGTCAGGGCAGATGAGGGAAAACGTGGGGTTAAAACACCAAAAATAACACAAAACAAACATTTGATGGGCTGACATAACCTTTCTTAATCTCGAAAAGTCTTAATCCTATAACAAAACTTAACTTATTTAACTGATGGCGGAGAAAAAAGAAATTCACTTGGTTTACGTTTTTTCAGTCTTTAGGTCACGAGGAAGCCATAATACAAAGGAATATGTGAGTCAACCTCCCAATAGATTTGAACTGTCCACTGATTGGTCAAAGCAGATCATGAAAAAATGTACGTGAAATATATTTGAATAAAATAACCCGTGGAAGTGTGTTTAGTGAATTTAAAATCCGCCAATATTGTTCGCTCTTGGTCGTGTCCAGATCAGGTCTAGTAAACATAAACACAATTTTTAGCGTACAAATCCAGGCTCACAGAATCAGTATACAGTATGTGCGTCCACCAGATAAATAACGTTAGACTTTTGTTAGAATAGGTTATAATATAGGTTAAGTTGGTTTCTCACTTCTTATCAAACCTAACCTAACCAAAGGAACCAAACCTAACGACTCATATATCAGGATACGTACATGACTTTTCCACAGTGACTCCAGAAGCTACATAACTTATATTCACAGAAACACAAATCATTGAATATCCTGCAGGCAGCCACACGGTACAAGTATTTATAGGATCTTCTTGCAGTGAACTCGGGACGACGGTGATTACGTCAACGAGGACTGAAGGATGGACGGCGGGAAGGGTGAGAGACGGGGAGGCAAGAGCTGGAGGAAGGAGAGGGAGGAACGTGAGAGAAAGCGCACCAACAACAGAGGCCCCGGATACAACAGTAAAGGTATACATCCCTCGAGTGATGGACTGCTTTGAGTGTTGTCACCTCTCTGGGAACCCCTCCTGATATTGTCAAACATTCTAGTGTTAACCTTACCTATCCTAACCAGACCTAAATGGATAATTAAGTAGAAAGGAAGATATATAGAGGTAGTATATAAATAGATAGATATATAGGCAGATAGATTGGTAGAGAGCAAGATAGATAAATGCATGTATAATACCTGGTACAGTATACTCAAGTACATCTCTGCAGTGTATAGAACTGGTGGAGGCTCAACACCAACAGAAACTTCCATTAATGACGTCATTCTCTCTCTCAGATGCGGACGAGAAGAAAGACGACCCCGTAAGAGAGAGACACACCTCCGAGTCCCGCCGACAACAGGAGGAGTTAGAGAAAAGGAAAGCGGAGGAGGAGAGGAAACAGAAAGAGGAAGAAGAGGAGGCAGAACGGGTCAGGCAGGAGGAGGAGGAGTTGGTACGGAAGAGAGAGGAGGAGGAGGAGGAAACCCGAAGACGCCAAGAGGAGGAGATGAAGAAGAGGGAAGAGGACCGCGTGAGTTAATTTTCTCATGCCATTGGTCTTGGTCTAACCTAATTTAATGTAATGTAACCTGACCTAACGTAACTTTATCTAATGTAATCTAACCTAATCAAATCTAATATAACCTAACTTAATAATGTAACCTAACCTAATCTAATATAACCTTCACCTCCCCTCCTTCCTCAAGTACCAATAGGTATTTGATCATCAGGTGATATAAACTGGGTTGGGGGGGGGAACTAATCTTCAGGTGATCCATGACATCCTCGTGTTGTGATATGGCTATACAGGACAAGCAGTTGGGATGTGAAGTAATGCCTTCTGTTACTCGGTCACTCAGTCACTCGGTAAATAAGTGTTCTCTCTATCCTTGTATGTATTTAATGGTAAGTTCTATATTTCCAGACATTCCTCTTGGGGTATATCCAGGAGGCAGAGGAACGGCTGGCCAGAAAGGCTGAACTGAGGGTGCAGAATTTGGCGGTGGCAAAAGATCGGCCGGAACTGAACACGGCAATGCTAGACTCGAGCTTGAAGAAGAATACTGCTTTTATTAAGAAACTCGTAAGTATAGTACCATGTGTATATTTTAAAGGGGTTTAATTTTTAGAGTCTCGTCATTGTTAGGATTTGTATGACAGATAGACAGACAAGATAGATATTTAGAAAGATAGATAGATAGATAGAGTATTCAGTAAAAGTATCACACAAGTTTACAATAGGTATAGCTTGTACAGTATGTAGACAATGCTGGTATACAGCTCAACATGCATATAGACTACAGTGAACCCTCACTTTACGCGGTTAATTCAACCCATGGCGGCCCGCGTAAAGTGAGAAACACGTAAAGTGAACAACATAACATATGGGATTAATTGAAATAGAGACCGGGCCGACCCCCAAACTCCACTTTTTCAGACACAATACCTACGTTGTAGTAAAAATAACTTCTTAATTTTATGATGGTATGCACACACAATTAATAATTAAGAGAAATATCAATAATATTAGGTTTTTTAACACTTACATTAGTAGAAAAGATGGCTGGGCACACGGGGATGGGGGGTTGGTTCCGAGGCAGAGGGCAGATTATTGGCCCTCACCTGTATCACTTGTATCAATTGTATCACTATCCACCACAGAGGCTTGCAGGGCCTCTTTGTCAAACCCCTCAAAGTCCATATAAGTCCATATCCTCACTATCATTATCACCATCACTGACTTGGGCCGGCTGTGGTGGGTGGCGGGTGAAGAACTCGGTAATGTTTTGATGACTGGGCGACCTTGTGCGCACCCTGCTCGCGCCGCTCTCCGCGTAAAAGGGTACACACACCGCGGAAAGTGAGCATTCCGGTTTCGGCAGGGTACAGCGTAAACATGGAAACGCGTAAAGTGGGACCGCGTAAAGCGAGGGTTGACTGTACACAGATATTGTATACAGTTTATTATGCATACACAGTGCAGGTATACAAACAGTGGTCAATAGTAAGGCAATGTGTTTAGTATTTGGTGCTAATTTTTTCCCAAAATTTGGTATTTCCCAATTTTAAATTTTCCCATTTTTTATTAAACCAAGATAATGATGTATGCAGTGTATATTGAAGTATACTGTACTGTATAATGTGACAACTAACCAACGTCAAATAAACAAAGACAATAATAAATACAATATACGATTATACGTATATATGCAGTACATTATATAGATACACTGTACAATAACTGGTACAACTACAGTACAGAAATTATTTAAAAATAAAAGATATAGAAATAATTGTCAACAGGAAAACACCACCATTTCTCTTACCACACTAATTAAGTTTTACTCTTGTAGAAAAATCTGACGGAGAGCCAACACGATTCTCTAATACGGGATCTTCAGAGCCTCAACCTGACCAAGTACGTGAGTGAGGTGGCTCAGGCAGTGGTGGAGGCCAAGCTGAAGATGTCGGACATCACCACGGCCGTCCACCTGTGCTCCCTCCTCCACCAGCGTTACCACGACTTTGCCTCGACGCTCCTAGAGAACTGGCAAAAAGTTCTCTCTCCGAAAAAAGACGAAAAGGCATGTAGAGTCAGCCGTTGTAGCATTGACGTAAATGAACCTGATATCTCAGTTAATAACACGTGCATAGTAGAATTGTACGAATGGGGGCCCTGTTAAGTGGCGGTAAAGAGTCAGAGTGGGGTGTCGTCTATTGTCATTTGGATATTACTGACCCAAAATGACCGGAAATCATTATGATTGGCTGTGATGGAAGTGTTGTAGGTATGTGGGGATAAATGGTTTCACTTCATGTATAGTATTATTGTGTATACAAGTTGAAGAAGTGTGAGTATAGATTGTTTTTGCCCCAAACTTGGTGGTAAACTGTACACTGTGCTTTCATATGAAGTGTTGTAAATCACTTTGGGGATTAAGACTTCACTTTTTTATACTTTCAGTCAAGTTAAGTAGTAAGTATAGAAGTGTAATAATAATAATAATAATTAACGGTTTATTGAAAAAGTTCTGCAGCCCGAAAGCTGAAAATATACATTGGACATAAATGACTTATTACATACATTGGTGGTTTAACAAAAGCCTTCATTAGAGAAAAGTAAAGGAACATACAGTGAACATACAGATTAATGTAAGTGTTGAACAGCAAACACGTAGTGTAACTCCCTCCCAAATGGTGTTAGGAGGGACCTCACATGGTGTAGTAATTCCCTCACAGATGGTGTTATGAGGGGCTTGACGTGGTGTAGTAATTCCCTCACAGATGGTGTTATACGAGTGAAGTGTGGTCCCAGGCCTTCCCATCGTAGACGGATTAACACATTGCTGGTTGTTGTTGGGTCTCACGGGCAGTTATCACTGGGTACCTGGAACCTCACTGTGTGAAGGTTAGCTTGGGTACGACTCAGCTGTTATTGTTGAGTTGTTCTCACTGACTTAAGCACTGTTCACCACTGTTCATCTCTGTTCAACACTGGTTCCATTCCTTTCCTTAATGAAATTGTAACTTCTGGCGAGAAGTTATTAATATTCTGGTGGGGAGGAGGGGTTCAGGGGAGGGAGTTGGTATGGGCCAACTTAACAATTGACGCGGCTGCTGCCAGAGCAGCGCCAGGTATGTCTTGACCCTTCGGTGGTCAAGGATGAAGTGTGTGTACTCTCATGGTTGTCTCACTTCAATAGGATCACACCAAACTCTTCATCCCCAGAACACAAATATGAGCAAACTGCGGGTGGACTTACGGCTGTACGCTGAGCTCATAACTGCCGGAATATTTGCACCAAAAGAAGGTCTTCCTCTCTTAGGTAAGTTGTGTGAAAATAAGTGATACTATGATGATATTTTCCTTTCTATGTTGTCTATTAAGTTCTGATACTCATGGAGAAATTTTCCATTGAGGAGTTGTATATTATGACAGACCCTCCACACTAGTCTGTTACTACATGTTTATCTTATTCTCTCTCTCTCCTTTTCTTCCTCCCTTTATCATCTCCCCCATTCTGTAGCATATTATCCTAACTTTTCTTTCGTACCCCCCCCCCCCTCCCCCCAGCTTAACTAGCCTGATGTTTAACCACCCCAAGACTATCAGGGGAGGAAGGGAGGGGGAGGAGACTCTAATGTTTAGGTGATCCACAAAAGCTATAAATTATGAAAGGTCTCGTCTGTGGTCACGATCTCAATCACTGATTACATCGTTGGTTTGGGCATGTGTAGAGAAAGAAGGTGACCATTTAGATCAAGAGATGCACTAGTTTGAATGCGGAGGGAAACAGAGCCAGGGAAGAGTGTTGGCATCAGGCAATCACAGCTAACACTCACAAGTGTGGAAAATGGCCATAAAACGATGATGGCGATGATGTAAAAGTTTTTTTTTTTCACCTTATGTTCTTGTTGTAAATGCATTCTGTACATTAGTTTTATCCTGTTTTATTCGTGTTAGTGGACTTGTCTCAAGTACTGTACAGTATGTCCAATATAGAGATAGATGTAGATTTCTTTTCTTTTTTTTGGGTATTTTCACTTACTGTTCTTGTTGAAAATGTGTCCTGTGGTTTTATTTGTGTACCATAGTAGACTTGTCTCAGCTATGTAAAGTTTTGTTGTTTATTTGTTTTGTTTTCCATCTACTCTCATCGTAAATTTGTCCATCCAGGTAACGTGTTGACGACCTTGGTGACGTCGGACAAAGAGGAGCACCAGAACATATCAGTACTACTGACCTTCTGTCGACACTGTGGGGAGGACTACATGGGTCTGGTGCCTCGGAAGATAAGGCTGCTAGCGGACCAGTTTCAGGTGAGTCGGGGTCAGTTTCAGGAGAGTCAGGGTCAGTTTCAGGAGAGTCATCAGTAGTATAATACGGTACAATGAAAAGAATCATGTGACTTTGCTTAATATTTTAAAAATTAAGTAACTTTTGAGATCTGAGACACCCAAGTTGAACCTGCTTGAACAAGACTTTGAAGAGGTGAACCTAACTTAACCTAAAATAACCCATTTGAATCTAACCTAACCTAACCTAGCCCAGTGGAACCCAACCTAACCCAGCCCAGTGGAACCCAACCTAACCTAGCCCAGTGGAACCCAACCCAACCTAACCCAGCCCACTTCTGTAGCTTCATCTCCACGTATACTTACAGATGGCCGTACCCAAGAGCGAGTTCCTTCCCCGCGAGAGACAGAAGAATGTGAGACAACTGATGAAGGATTATTTTACCTCCCTCAACAAGCACCTGTTTCACGATCATAAGGTAGAGTGCTCTCACCCTGTCGCCCTAATAGTAGTTACTTGGTATAATCTGCAGGCAAGTTTATGATTGTCTTGGTATGTATATAGACTGTGCAGGTATACAGTTTATCATGTGTATAGACTGTGCAGGTATACAGTTTATCATGTGTATAGACTGTGCAGGTATACAGTTTATCATGTGTATAGACTGTGCAGGTATACAGTTTATCATGTATATAGACTGTGCAGGTATACAGTTCATCATGTATATAGACTGCAGGTATACAGTTCACCATGTAGTATATAGACTGTGCAGGTATACAGTTCAGCATGTATATAGACTGTGCAGGTATATATTTCAGCATGTATAGGTATATGGGTGTACAAAGACCATGGGGGAAACAGTTCACCATGTGCCTAGACAGTGCAGGTATACAAAAATATTCAACAGCAAGGTAATTAACCCGAGGATAGCCAACAGAGCCGTCAGATCATTATTGTTTAACGGCAATTTCCCTCACTTGCCTGGATTAGCTACGATGACCTGAGACCACAGTGATCCATTTACCATCAAGCAAAATTTTAAATGAGTTTCAAGTCTGGATGCTCTTTCTATTGGCAACCTTTTTCTTTTTTGTTAGGGTGGGAACTGAACTGGCCATTATACTGTACAGTATAGGATTTCCAAGTGCTATCCATTTATCTATCTGATTTTCTGCCTCTATGCCTGTCTGTCTGTCCCAGTGGTATGAAAGACACATCCATTAAGTCTGACAAAGATGTTTTCAAGTAACAGAATAAATGACAAAGATTCATCATTTGGAAAACTTGAACGTTTTAAACTAAAGCTTATCCTATCCTAATTTAACCTAAATTAACCCGATCCAACTTAACCCAACCTAATGTAACCTAACCTCATCCCTGCAAATACTATTAAGGTGATTAATCTTTAGGTGAAATAAGCTTGATTGGAGACTTATCAGGTGATCAAAACTTTTTTTTTTTTGTATGTCACATTTCAGGAGCTGCAACAAGTAGAGCAACACAACAGGCGGCTGCTCCAGACTCGCGGGGAACTGAGTCAGGAACGCATCAACCTGGCTGAGAACCTTTCTGCTGGACTGGGCAAACTTGTGACCAATGCCCAACAGATGGCTGAGCTGTTGGACGAAGATATGCCTGATTTACCTGAAGACAGTGAGTCAGTCTGTCTCTCTCGGGACGATTTCCTCTCCACCACTGTAACACTGCCACCACCTCTATAACACTGTCACCACCACTATAACACTATCACCACCACTATAACACTGTCACCACCTCTATAACACTGTCACCACCACTATAACACTGTCACCACCTCTATAACACTGTCACCACCACTATAACACTGTCACCACCACTATAACACTATCACCACCACTATAACACTGTCACCACCTCTATAACACTGTCACCACCACTATAACACTGTCACCACCTCTATAACACTGTCACCACCACTATAACACTGTCACCACCACTATAACAGTCACCACCTCTATAACACTATCACCACCTCTATAACACTATCACCACCATTATAACACTGTCACCAGCATTGTAACAGTCACCCCCATTAAAATTGCTGTACCTATATCTTTACACCTAAACCTTGACTTGTACAATACAGTATTTCTGTTTCAGCTTCAGTTTTCCGAGTCAGAATTTTCACCCATAGAGTACTGTACTTGATGCTTCTTTCAGAGACCCCAGGGGACGACCTTGGCCTGTGTGATATAGGAATGGGCGAAGGCGGTGAGATTCCTGAAGGGGGGACGTCTGTACTCTGGGAGGACGACGACATGAGAGCATTTTACGAAAACTTCCCCGAACTCAAAGCTCTCATACCGTCGATACTCTACAGTGACTCTGAGAAGCCAACAGCTGTACCTGTAAGTTCGGATGTCAAATATCTCCTTGCCGAGTTTGGTTAATATCCATTATTATTTGTTCCTGGTTATTGCTTCCACAACTAACCATCCAGTGCTTCTCTCCTCTTCCCAACCAGTACCTCTCTCTGCCTCTCCCTCCTATCCAAATTATCCAGCATGACACTACCAAACATGGCAGGTTTTCTCCGGGTACTACAGTTTCCTCCCATGGTAACACTCAACATTAAAGGATTTTACGAAGTATTAAAGAACAGACCAACCGCCCAGACGGCTAGTGAGCTGATAAGTGGTGGAGTGATAGATAGAAAAGAAATAGATATAAATAACATTATTAACGTGTACTCTTGGGGGCGTCTCATGAATACTGAACATGTTTATTGGGTGCTTTAGGCCGAGGAAACTCCGACGGAGGAAGTGGACGACACACTGGAGGAAGAGGAACTTGAGGTTATGGAGACAGTAGAGGAGGATGCGGAGGAGGTGTTGCCGCCTGAGTTACCGCCGGAGGAGGAGCAGGACGACAGCCTAACGGGCACGGGACCGTCTTCCAATAAGGTGTTGCTGGACGCCTTTCTCAGTGCCCTTCCCAACTGCATCAACAGAGACTTGATCGACAGTGCAGCCATGGAGTTCTGTCTCAGACTCAACACTAAACCAAGCAGGAAGAAATTAGTCAGGTGAACATCACAGTCTTTATTATTATATACATTGTTTATTTAACATTTAAACAGTGGCCATTATTAGTGGAGGTTAGCTATATGGACACTGGCCATCATCAGTGGATCTGTAGGGACAGTGGCTATCATTAGTGGAAGTTAGCTGTAGGGACAGTGGCCATCATCAGTGGAAGTTAGCTGTAGGGACAGTGGCCATCATCAGTGGAAGTTACCTGTAGGGACAGTGGCCATCATCTGTGGAAGTTACCTGTAGGGACAGTGGCCATCATTTCTTTGGAAGTTTCATGTTCCTTGTGTTCTATTTTTGTGCATATGTGTGGGGGAGAATGAATCCTTAGCTGCCAATAAATAGTTAAAGGAGTATACCAGTTAAATGGGTAGAGCATTCACCTCCTGTCCCAAGGATCTATTACCCTAACCAGACTCCCCCAGGCAGCATTTGGATGGTTAATCTTCAGGTGATTTGCAGTAACTTGGAGGGGGCAAATCTTTAAGTGAAATAAGCTGGGGGGGGGGGTGACAAATTTAGGTGAGACAAGCTTTGGGTGGCAAAATCTTCAGGTGAAATAAGCTTGAGGAAGGGTGGCAAGTGTTGAGGTGTTCGAACATGTCATTCTAACTCTCTTTAAGGTTGTTCATACTGTGTCTCTTCTGCCTCCAGCCACATAAACATCTACTCTCCCTCCCAGAGCATTGTTCCTGGTTCCAAGGACGAGGCTGGACCTACTGCCGTTCTATTCCCGACTGGTGGCCACGCTACAGCCTCTCATGCCCGACCTGGCCACCGATCTCGTCAACATGCTGCGGCAGGATTTCAAGTACCAAGTTCGGAAGAAAGTAAGTGAGAGTGAAGAGTTTTGTCGAGTGGTAAAATATGTCGGGTTTAAGGGCAGATCAGGGAGGTCTTAAGGATATAATATTGTGTCTTATAGCTGCTATTGAACCTGAGTACCCTAAATACAGGTGAGCTAACCTAACCTAATGTGAAGCCAAACTGTGTGTGTTTTTTTATAGTATCCATGAAGCTGATTTGTTTAAGTGTACATGCAGAATAATTAAATATGTTTTAATCGTTTGGGCTAAGTTAAGAGAGGTTTGGTTACATTAGGTAAATTAAGGCAAGGTTAAGCTAGGTGAGGTTAGTTAGGCTAGGTGAGGTGAGTTTAAGATAGGGTAGGTAAGGTTAGTTTAGGTTAGGTTGGGTTGATAAGATTGGATTGGGGTACTGTAGTTTATGTTTGGTGTTCGGTGTGCACTCAACCCTGTCCTTGTTCGGTGTGCACTCAACCCTGTCCTTGTTTGGTTGCCTCAAACTCAAGTCCTGTTCGTGCACTCAACCTGGTTCAGTGTGCACTCAACTGCACAGTGTACTCAACCCTGTCCTTGTTCAGTGTGCACTGTGTGCACTCAACCCTGTCCTTGTTTGGTGCACTCAACCCTGTCCTGTTCAGTGCACTCAACCCTGTCCTTGTTCAGTGTGCACAACCCTGTCCTTGTTGGTGTGCACTCAACCTTGTTTTGTGCACTCAACCTGTCCTTTTGTGCACTCAACCCTGTCCTTGTTCGGTGTGTGTGCACTCAACCCTGTCCTTGTTCAGTGTGCACTCAACCCTGTCCTTGTTCAGTGTGCACTCAACCCTGTCCTTGTTCAGTGTGCACTCAACCCTGTCCTTGTTCAGTGTGCACTCAACCCTGTCCTTGTTCAGTGTGCACTCAACCCTGTCCTTGTTTGGTGTGCACTCAACCCTGTCCTTGTTCGGTGTGCACTCAACCCTGTCCTTGTGTTAACTTGAGAACAAATACACTGGAAGGTTAGAAAGAGAGAAGAAGAAAATATAATCTACAAATGCTCTTAACTTATTCAATAGTCTCAAAGATAATCAAATAGTTCTCGTGAGACTCATTCTGTATTGTTTCTCAGGATCAGATCAACATCGAGTCCAAGATCAAGGTCGTGCGGTTCATCGGGGAGCTCGTCAAGTTCCGCGTCTTCCCCCGGAGCGAAGCTTTGCTGTGTTTACGAATGTTGCTTCAGGACTTCAATCACCACCACATCGAAATGGCGTGCAACCTATTGGAGACGTGCGGTCGTTTTCTCTATAGGTGAGAGCTGGTGCTGGAGCCCTCGTGTAAGATTGCGTCCTGTTAGGTTTTGTACAGGATTTGTCATAAGTCATTTTTTGTTTCCTGTAAAAGGCAACATAGGATGCAAAATACAGTAATACAGACCTGCCAGTGATCATACAGTATATTGCTAAGCCCTGATACAGTATGCCTAAACCTGGACATTAAAACGACACTGATGGACTGTACCACCAAGAGTACTGTAGGCGGGTGTACACATACTGTAGATGATAAGTGAGAAAGGCATCTTGAGGTGTGTTCTTTGTCCCATTATAAACTTCTAACTTCCCTCTTAACTATAACTTCTTTTTCTTTTTCTTCCTCTCTCTCTCCCTCTCTCAGGTGTTTCTTGTCCTGAAATTGTTCTCTTGTTTCAGGATTCCAGATTCTCATCACCGCACCAAGATCTACCTGGAGCAAATGATGAGGAAGAAGACGGTAAAGGCCTTTGATCCCAGGTGAGTGTTTCTCTCTCTCTCACACACACACACACACACACACACACACACACACACACACACACACACACACACAGAGGACCTTTAGGCAGATTATTTAATAACAACTGTACTGTATTTATATATGTATGTACTGTACAGTATGAGGAATGAATAAGTAAATGACAGCAGGTGATGAGAGAGTGTGCGTTGGTCACTGTGTGTCGAGAGAGACCGTCTCAGAGTAAAAAATAATAGATTTCGTGCAACTTAAAACTGTGGTTGTGACATTTATGATTTGTACCAGAGACGGTAAAAATTTACTAAGTGTTTAATCTTACAGGTACAACACCATGATCGAAAACGCATACTTCTACGTTAATCCGCCGGACACGGGGCCGGAGACAACCAAAAAAGAGCGACCCCCGATGCACCAGTATATACGCAAGCTTCTCTACAACGACCTCTGTAAGTCCAACACGGAGAAGATTCTGAGACAGGTTAGTTTATCCTGTTTACCAGTGATAATTATTTATTTTATTTTATTTTTAATTTTTTCTCATTCCACCATTTATTAGTGGTGTTTGGATGGTTGGTCAGTTCTTTGTTACTGTGTTATGACCTTTATTGTTCAGTGTTAGTACAGGAGAAAGCTTTAGTACCTGGAGAAAACTGCCATGTTTGCTTGTGGCACACTGGATAACACCCTTCTCACATCTGAACCAAGCCAGGGAATGAACCCGGGTCACATTAGTGAGAGATGTGTTTTTGTAAGGAAAGGAATCCAGTGACTAGTTTAATCCTCCTCTTCCCTTTGTTCCTATGAGTTTGTCCTCCACGAGCACAGCATCAGTACAAGAGTAAACTAAGAGAGGCCGGAGACAACCTGCCATGATCAATAAGGTCATTCTGAACAAAACCCTTCTTGCATCCGACCCAGGAATGAACCTGGGTCACACTATGAGGTGCACTGAGCATGATGCACAAGACAGAGATGTACCACATGTGTTTTTTAGACCATTCACACTGATTTAAAACTGCTAAACTTTTTACGTACAGGTACAACAATTAGATTAGGTAAGGTTAAGTCTGGTCTGGTCAGGTCAGGTCTGGACAGGTCAGGTCAGGGTTTATGTTAGCAGTTTGTTTTACCTTCAGATGAGGAAGATGCACTGGGAGGATCCAGCCATCTCCGGCTACATCATCAAGTGTCTCACATCCGTCTGGAACGCCAAGTTTTACAATATTCGCTGTATTGCCAACCTGGTGGCTGGCCTCATCTCTCATCACGTTAGTCACTAAGTTTTTGACGTGTTTTAATATCTCTACAACTGTAAGGTTCAAGGGAGATATGGTAGCCATGCTGCCTGTTCCTGTGTCTGTTATAAAAGAAATCCTAACCTAACCTAACCTCTACCAGGACTGGGTGGGGCCTGCTGTTGTGGACGGCATTCTGGAAGACATACGACTTGGCTTAGAGGTGAACCACCCCAAGTACAACCAGCGGCGTGTAGCGGCCGTCAAGTATCTGGGAGAACTGTACAACTACCGTGTCATCGAGAGCACCATCATATTTAAGGTATGTTGGTGGTCAGGAGTCTTATTTTAGCATTAGCCAGCAAGTATCACCAGTGGAAGTTTGAGGCCATCATCAGTGGAAGTTCTTGTAAATATCCTCCTAATATTTCTTCTTTTTCATCATTTACTACACATTACCATCACTTTATCAGTAAATGTTTTCATAATTCCTACTATTTGCAATCTTTTGCTTACTCCGATATTTTAACCCCGCCAGGTCCTCTATCTGTTCTGCACGTTTGGGGTCGTCTTCGACCAGAACATGTACAGTGAATATGACCCCCCTGAGCACCTGTTCCGCCTTCGTCTGGTGTGTACGCTCCTCGAGACCTGTGGACAGTTCTTCAGTTCTGGCTCCAGTAAGAGACGTCTCGATTGCTTTCTCGTGTATTTCCAAGTAAGTAAATTTCTTGTACAGTATTTAAGGGAGATGAGTTATTTTTTCAGTAAAATTGTCATTATAATTTCCATTTCTTTTGTACCATATGTACATATATAGATAATACTGTATAGGTATATATTGCAATTCAGCATGTACAATATATAGATTGGTAATGCAGGTGTACAGTTCAGCATGTATATGGACAATGCAGGTATACAGTTTTGCATATATGTAGACAAAACTGATATGTACAGTTCAGCATGTATATATACAGTGCAGGTGTAGCAGTCTGCATGTATACTGCATAGGCAATAAAGGTATAATAGACCCTCGATAGCACTATTGATGTACAGTGTGTCACCATAAATCATTTTATAAATAAAACTATATACTTGTTTTTGTCATCATTATCATCAATCCACAAAGAGGAAATGCATCTTATAAATAAAAATATATACTTGTTTTCTTCAGCATTACTACCAGTACAAAAAGAATCTGAACGTGTGGAATGAAGAGGAGGAGTTTCCGTGGCAGATAGAGCACCTGGTGAGAGACACTATCTCAGCCGTAAGACCCAAGCTGCAGCTATCAAAGTCACTGGAGGAGGCACAGAAAGCGGTCCAGCACCTCAATAACCAGATCATGGCCAAGGCTATAGAGGTGAAGTGTCGTCTGTTTATTGTTACCCAGATCGTAACTAAGGCCATAGATGTAAGAATTCGTCTGTTAGTTATTGTTCCCTGTCATTGTGCTGTGAAACCTCCATTTAACAGACCATATCCATTAGGTGATGGTGATGGTGATGAAGGTGATAATGACTATGATAAAGATGAAGGTGATAATGATAATGATAGTAATAATGATGATGATGAAGGTAATGGGTAATGATGATGATGGAGAGAAATGATGATGTTTATTGTTACTGCTGTAGGTTAATGAAGTTATAAACGGATCAGGTTAAACATTGCTGTATTATCATTTTATGTTTGGTCAGCACTGGACAGATTTCTCTATAATAACACATGTCATCTAACTCTTGTCCAGATTTTTGCTCATATAATAAAACTTTCCAGATTTTTACTCATACATGATTTCATAATAAACTATGTAATGATAAGAGGAGAGATTACAGGAGTTTCTTGTACAGTAATGAAATTTATTTGATCATTACATAATATTTACTGTACCAGCCTTTTGTACTTTACTCAACTTTACTTAGATATTGTAAAGTAATCCATGACTTTACTTATATATTGTTAAGTACCTGTGACTCTACTTACATGCCTGTGACTTTACCTGTGGTGTGTCTACTTATTACAGCAAGTACCAAGCTTACGACAGTACCTCCAGCAAGAAGAGGAGAGTGAGAATCTAGAGACCATCACAGAGGAAGGTTCGTCTCTATTACTCTGTTCTTTGTATTGATTTTTATTTATTTTTTAATAAGTTTCCAGGAGAGATTGTTCAACGTCACCCCCAGTAAAGTGCAGGAAGTTTAAGGGCTTGAGAGTTGGTAGGACTGTGGCTTTGAGACTCAAGAAACCTGATGTGAATGATGTCTTTGTTATGCGCACACATACACACACCTACATACTTATATGCATGGACACACACACTCACATGCATGCACATACACACACACACACACACACACTTTCACTTGCATATTAAAGTGTAATGAAGTGTGATACTAATGTACGAATCACTGCTGTAGATGAATGGATTCCATCCTGAAGTCCCCTTAAAATTATTGTCACTTTTGGTTTGGTCTGTGTGAGAAGAAGCTGCATTTGGCTAAAAACTATCAGTAGTCTTTGGTTTTAATTGACCAATAATAATTTAATACTGTATGATAAGTGAAAACAATATTTTACTAATATAAATTAATATAAATAAAGATATTCAAGGCATTGGGCTATTTATTCAATCAGACAATAATTATTTGCATAATCTTTACCTCTGGCAAGTACCACCAGTTACAAGAACCTGCTGGGATGTAAACAGGCCCACTTAACTCACTTTTAGGGAACTCTCAAGTAATAAATAGAGTGTAATAATTTTTTATATTGGCAGGCTGAGGGTAACATGAATGACTTAAGGCCCAGGAAACCGGAAAATTCTCAAAATTAATTTGGTCTTGATCCCAAGGGTCTGTACCTGTACAAAATCTGCAGGGTGTTTCAGAAAGATGTATACACACAGTCTTACAGATTTTGGTAGTTATGTCTTGAATGGTTGTACTGTATTACATCAGCAACACTGTCCTCACTTGTTGATGTGTGAGGTCTCCCGCAAGTGAGGACAATGTTGTAATTGTACTTGAATTTATCATGTTGTACTGCACAGTCCTTGGTGTGGCTGAAGCTTTTGCATACATAACCTAACCTCACCTCAATTTCTCTGATGATTTCAAGTTTCTGACGGAGTGAAGAACTTGATGTCTAATGCAGGTGATGGCCAGGTCTTAGATCTGGAGGGAGACATCTTGGAAGATATGGACGATGAGGAAGATTTTGACGAGGTGGACACTGACTTAGACTGGAGCGAATCCCACGGAGACTCCCTCACTCCCTCCCAACACAGCCAGCCAGCCCGCAGCACTGTGGAGGAGGTGGTGAGTTGCAATATTTTCACTTTCTTTCTCATTTTATCCCTCATTACATACACACATAGATATTTATTCAGTAAAATCAATATGCATGTTTACAATGTGTTCAGCATGCACAGTACTTAGACAATGCAGGTACTATACATTATGCAGTTCAGTACAGTTTGTAAATAGACAGTGCAGTTCAACATGTATACATAGACTATGGAGGTTCATTATACAGCTCAACATGTATACATAGACAATGCAGGTACAGTATACAGTTCAATATGTAGTATAGATAATAGAGGTTTACAATTCAGCATGTATATAGACAACACAGGTATACAGTTCAGCATAAAGACAGCAGATATATATTGTACAGTACATAGTCCATGCAGGTATACAAACAATATACTGTACATACCAAAAACAGTGTTGGTATACAAACAGTAGTAAACAGTAAGACAATTTAACCAAGGATAGCCATCAAAGTCATCAGATGCTTATACGTATATATAATATAAGTTTGTAAAGTTATTGATTACTGTCTTAGGAAGGTGAAGGTGTGCTGACTGGAGATGCAGAGGAGGAGATGGGGGAGGACGAGGGGGAGTTATTAGAGGGCGACATGAAAGTCAATGTCAAACACGTCGACTGTGAGGAGGACACTGATTTTATGTCTGCCTTCGACCGCATGATGGCCGACAGCCTGATGGAACGCGCAACCACCGTCAGCCGGCCTGGCCAGCTAGACATATCTGTGCCTGTTCATGTCAAGTCCACGGCGAAGAAGACTTATGGTACGTGCCCCACTCGTTGCTTCAGTCAGCTATATGAACGCAGTCTTGATTGACTAATTCTGACTGATATACTGAATAATTGACTGAGAAAATATATGACCAGTTTTTGAAGTTATAATTTATTACTGCTCTTCAACAACTAAATTCCTTAAGTTCATAAATAGACTGTTAATTACACTAGTCCATCAACTATTAAAAATTATGAGATATAGAACAATCAGTTACTGTTATGTTTGAGTAGTTAATGGCAATTCTTCTTTTACCATATTCCATGTTACTGGTGTGGCATATATCTGTTTACTGAGTATTGTATTGTATTGTACTACTGTATTGGGTTACATTCATTAACTGTATGTGTGTGTGTCTCTTTCATTCTTTCTTTCTCATTCTGTGTATATCTCTCATTCTCTATCTCACTGAGCAGATCAGCTGTTATGTGAAAGTACAGAGGAAGAGACCAAGCCAGTGGTAAACTTTGTCCTCATGACTCGGGCCGGCAACAAGCAACAGTACAACAGCGTGGAGATGCCGGTCAACTCTGAGCTGGTGACCAAACTTCGAACCCGGGAAGAGGTGAGTAAATTCAAGACCGTGTTGGCAGTAATGCATCCCTGGTTCAATCCCCAGCCTGAGACAGATCTGAGAAGGGTTTTATCTTATGTAACACAACCAAACATGGCAGGTTTTTTGCGAGTACTACACTAACCTTACTTAATCTAACCAAACCAAACTCAATTTGATATTGATAACCAAATCTAGTTTAAAATAACTAAACCAAACCTAATTCGAAAAAAAAACCCTTACCTAACCTCTGGTGGTGTGCATAAAGTAACGGCAATTTCTCTTACAGGCGGAAAGAGCGGAGAAAGAAAAGGTCAAGCGCATGACTCTGGAGATCAACGAAAGACAGGAGGAGGAGGAGGCAGCGGAGATCATGCAACAGGTAAGGTGTAGAAGAAGGTGTCGGCTGTAGTCCCCCGCCAATTTTAATGACCCAATGAACTAACTTGTGCGTGGGAGAGATCGAAGTCTTTTATTTTGTGTTTTCCCAAATACAGGATCCCAGTCGTGTATATTTGCAAATTGTGATGGTTGTTAGATACTAGATATATACTGTAGTTAATTAGTTACTGTTAGATGGCTAGCTATATACTGTAGAGATAGATACATAGGTGTTGTAGATAGGTACATACTCTAGATCGTAAAATAGATAGACACAGTACTGTATATAAATAGAGAAATAGATATATAGTCAGTAAAATTGTCATACAAGTTTAACATTATTTCTTTATGTATTTAGAAAGTACAATATACATAGTCATTGCAGGTACGTATACAGTGTACATAAACAGTGCAGGTAAAGGGGTCGGCAGTGTCAAAAAGATTAATATTTGGTCATCCTTGTGTTGACCATGAAGAGGAGATTGGAAGGACTATTGTTTAATTGAGCTATTGTGACCTAGAGTCAGTGAAGAGATTTACGTGTGAGAGACGACTGGTAGGTGTTATTATATCTGTTGCAGAAGGATTTTTTCTCACGTACGGTCGATGAATTGCCATAGTAAAAGTTTTTCATGTGGTGTTACTTACCTCTACATGGGCATCTATTTATACTTATATCATATTAATCTTTTCCAGCATTTGCTCACCACTTTTGTTTGGCTTTGCTGTGGTGTGTGTGTGTGTGTGTGTGTTTTTTTTTTTTTGCACCTTATTGTCTTCACACATTCTATCATTACTTTATATTTACTCTAGTTTGATAAGGAATGCTCAGTAAGGTATTATCATTATGTAGTTTTCCTATGTTTATTTACAGGCACAGCGACCGGCAACCATGAATTTTAACCGTGATAGACGACCAAAATATCAGCACCCAAAGGGAGCTCCTGATGCTGACCTTATATTTGGACCTAAGAAGATTAGATGAGTTGATTTACTCAATCTTTTATTATGGCTACAAATTTTTATGAAAGATTTCATGTATTTTTTAATACAGAACTTTGATCTGTAAGGATACAGATGCTTGATAGTTACAGGTTATCTTGAGAATTCAGGTACAGTCATTAACTAGACTGACTGTTGTTTATGATATGGTCAAGTAATTCTGCTTTTTAGCAACAAACATCTTCATATGTACTGGTAAAGTTTCTTAAAGACCATATGAGTTTCTTGTCGTCTTACCATGATCAGCAACATGCGAAGCTTCAAAATACTGCATCTTCTGTGATTACTTTTGTGTTGTAGAAGTATATGTCTGCATAAGATACCAACTACAGTACATATCTGCCAGCCATGTTGAAAAGTTGAATGTTTCACCCATCGATGGAAACTTGATTAATAACTCATCAGTCATCTTGTTATGTAGAAGTTTTTATTACACAGACTTTTCCTAAGGCTTAATGTGTATAATTAATTTTATTCATATTGATCAAGAGTGTGTGAATAAACCTTCAGCTCAACCAAGATCAATATTATTCCTATTGTGATTTCTCAAATATAATGTTGATAAAGAAAGATTCACAGTGTCTTAATATACCAGTCAGTAATGTAGTGTAGAGTTGGGATAAGTGATAAAATGAGTTCATCCTAACAGGCCTTAACCTAAAGCAATGCCTATTGGTTAGGTCAGGTACAGAGAGACATAATAGGTCAGGGGTCGGTTCATTTGAGCTGTTACTTATATTAACCCTTAACCGGCAGCGAAGGATTCCCTACCTCACGTCCTTATGTGCCAAAACGGAGCACAAGGAATATGGAACGTCCGCTGATGATAGCTGCATCCCTACAGGTTACAACAAGAGTCAAGGAGTGCACCTATGTACTGTTGTGGTCTTGGGTTGGCTGAGTGACATCATGTGTGGGAAAGGAGACATTTTTGTTCACCGGTGAGGTGACAGTGTGTGTACTGGTAGTCTGGGGGTTTTCCTGATGTATTATTTTTGGCCATGTTGACCAATAATTTTACTAGGTTCTGATGGTTGTAAGTGTAGGAGGTACAGTGCCATGATGTCCAGAGAATCAGATTTTGATTGTATCATAAACTATTGTATAACCTTCACATAGACTGCAGCTCACTTTATTTATGTGGGCCTTAATGTAGGTGTACTTGGGCTCCCTAGAACGTTGAATTTCTGTTTTTTACAGAAAACTGGGACCATACCAACACAGTAGTTTGGTTATGGAAGAAGAGGGTTGACATCATTTTCAATTAGCTCGACCCATGACAGTTGAAGCAGCCAGAGCCACACATCTATAGTGCTGTACAGTACTGTAACATTAAAACAGCACATCACTGTTCTGTAATGTACTGTAGAATTTTTTTATATTGGTGCATACAACAAAATTATTTTTTACAGCACCATTGCATATATATCAGGTGTGATTAGAGGAAAGGGTTATGAGAGATCACAGATATAAATAGTTTGGTTAGTGTCGTGGTCGGCGTGTAGAAACATGGTGTCTTCTCTTCTCTTCTCTTCTCTTCTCTTCTCTTCTCTTCTCTTCTCTTCTCTTCTCTTCTCTTCTCTTCTCTTCTCTTCTCTTCTCTTCTCTTCTCTTCTCTTTCTCTTTCTCTTTCTCTTTCTCTTTCTCTTTCTCTCCAACAACTTCCCACTACAGTAAATGGTAGTTATAGTTGCAGTTTAAGATAGTTATAATCAACACTATTAGTTATGATGGTCGTAGTTATGATGATGGTATTTATAATTACCATTAGAAGTATGGTAGCAATAGTTATAGCAGTAGTAGCCATGATAGTAGTAGTCATGGTAATGGTAGTTATGGTGGTGGTAGTTATGGTAATGGTAGTCATGATAGTGGTTGTTATGGTTGCAGTTGTTATGGTAGTGGTAGTAATGATAGTGGTAGTTATGGTAGTACTAGTAGTTATTGTAGTGGTAGTTATGGTAATAATAGTAGTGGGAATGGTAGTCATGGTAGTAGTAGTTATAGTAGTAAAAAAAAAGTAGTTATGGGACTAGTAATGGAAGAGATAGTTATGATAATGGTAGTCATGATATTGGTAGTTATGGTAGTAGTAGTTATGGTAGTGGTAGTCATGGTAGTAGTAGTAGTTATGGTAGTGGTAGTCATGGTAGTAGTAGTAGTTATGGTAGTGGTAGTCATGGTAGTAGTAGTTATGGTAGTAGTAGTTATGGTAGTGGTAGTCATGGTAGTAGTAGTAGTTATGGTAGTGGTAGTCATGGTAGTAGTAGTTATGGTAGTAGTAGTTATGGTAGTGGTAGTCATGGAGGTGGTAGTCATGGTAGTAGTAGTTATGATAGTAGTAGTTATGGTAGTGGTAGTTATGGTAGTGGTAGTTGAGGTAGTCATGGTAGTGGTAGTCATGGTAGTGGTAGTTATGGTAGTGGTAGTCATGGAGGTGGTAGTCATGGAAGTAGTAGTTATGATAGTAGTTATGGTAGTGGTAGTTATGGTGGTAGTAGTTATGGTAGTGGTAGTAGTCATGGTAGTGGTAGTTATGGTAGTAGTAGTTATGGTAGTGGTAGCAGTCATGGTAGTAGTAGTTATGATAGTAGTAGTTATGGTAGTGGTAGTTATGGTAGTAGTAGTTATGGTAGTGGTATTCATGGTAGTAGTAGTTATGGTAGTAGTAGTTATGGTAGTGGAAGTAGTCATGGTAGTAGTAGTTATGGTATTGGTAGTCATGGTAGTGGTAGTTATGGTAGTAGTAGTTATGATAGTAGTAGTTATGGTAGTGGTAGTCATGGTAGTGGTAGTCATGGTAGTGGTAACTATGGCAATGGTAGTCATGGTAGTGGTAACTATAGCAATGGTAGTCATGGCAGTGGTAGTCATGATAGTGGTAGTCATGGTAGTGGTAGTCATGGTAGTGGTAGTCATGGTAGTGGTAGTCATGGCAGTGGTAGTCATGATAGTGGTAGTCATGGTAGTGGTAGTCATGGCAGTGGTAGTCATGGTAGTGGTAGTCATGGTAGTGGTAGTTATGGTAGTGGTAGTCATGGTAGTGGTAATCATGATAGTGGTAGTCATGGTAGTGGTAGTCATGGTAGTGGTAGTCATGGTAGTGGTAACTATGGCAGTGGTAGTCATGATAGTGGTAGTTATGGTAGTGGTAGTCATGGTAGTGGTAACTATGGCAGTGGTAGTTAGATAAGAAGAAACACAAGTTCATTACTATTGCATCACCTTTTGTTACACGTACTGTATATGCGGCCTTGACGCTTGGCTCGCCTCATAGAAAATGGGGGAACATTTCATTAGCCTTAGCTTACTGTATATCTATATATTCTAAACGTTGTAAGTTAAACGAATGCCATACAAAATGTGTGTGAATGTGTGTCAGTCAGAACATAACAATGGAGGAAACTGCAGCGTGTCTATTGGTCCATACTGGGCAGTCCCGTTTACACCCAACCCCTATCGCTCATATATCCATCCATCCTATATCTGAAGCTATCCAGTGTAGCGTACATTATGTAATGTTGAATGTCCCTGACCGTGAACATTCGCCCCTAAAGCTTATATAAAACATTCCTTGATTTGGCTTTGATTTAATAGGATAACAGGTATTCTGTGCCAATCACCCCCTCAACAGACTTAACCAGAAGCTTCCACAACCTTCTATAGCTTTTTGTTGGATCATCCTCGAAGCGGCCAGGCTCCTTCGCCCGTGTTTATAAAAGTACGGTTTTAAGGATAGTTACGGGTATGTAGTACTTTATAACTGATACACTGCCTACCTGAAATGTAGTGATTGTTGTATCGTATGTATATACTTTTCACATCAAAAGTCAATGCCCACTTAGTATAATAAAATTTTGTTTATGTAGAAGCTGCAAATTATGTTGAAGTACATGTCCCGTTGTGTAAGTCGGAACACGTAATAATAATAATATATTTTTGAATAATATTTATAATAATAATTTAATAATAACAATAACAACAATTACAGTAATAATAATAATAACTAAAATAATAATAGTAATGATAATAATAATAATAATAATCATAAAGTAATAATAATTATAATAGTGCAGTGATGATAATAACCATAATAGCAACAAAAACAAGAGTTTGGGTCACTAAGCAAGCGGCTCATCCAGAAGACCCTTTTGTTGCGTCATCTGAAAGGTGACGTGTCCTAGACAGAGTATAGGCAAGAGGCAGGTGGGGGGGTTAGGGGGCAGGTATTGTAGGGGGCATTGCACGTGAAGGGGTGGGAGGGGGCATTGCACGTGAAGGGGTGGGAGGGGGTATTGCACGTGAAGGGGTGGGAGGGGGTATTGCACGTGAAGGGGTGGTAGGGGTCATTGCACCTCACCTGCGGTGCCCCGCTGCAGGTGTGGTGATGGGAGGGAGGTAGTTTATATTATTATTATTATTATTATTATTATTGCCCCCGAGGGGCCTAGTTTATTGGGCACCCCCCTTACATCCTGTGCAAGGTGAAGCGTTTCTGGCTAAATAAACTGTTTCAATTCAATTCAAATCTGGGAAGCATGCGTAGTTCATGCTTGCCTCTATGACTTATGCATTAAGGTCGTAAAAGCCTGAAGGGTCGTGGGTTTTGTCAGCAAGTTACATAAAGTGACAGAATGGTGAGTGTGTGGGGGTAAAATTCCCGGTACAATTTGTTTATGGAAAAGTGTGGTTAGTGAGAGAGAGGTGGGGCAGGTAATGGGTTCATTCGTTTGTGTGTGTGAGAGAATGGCGGGAGTGAGGAGAGCCTGAGGTGAATGAGTCACTACAGACTACACGTCAACGAACACTTTACATAGTGTAGCGTCGCCGACATCATGACAACACGTTTTACACACATAATGGTACTCGTATGTGTCCATACAGCACACACATCTAGCCTCAAACAGTAACAATAATAATGATGGTGATAATAATAATGATAATAATAATAATAGTGATGTAACAATGAGAATTTTTTTTACGGAACTAGCTGACAAAAAAAGATCCGAGCATTGACTCATTCATAACATATTCATCATAGTATAATTTTGTATAGTAGTTCACCCTAATACTCCTACACCATCCTGGATGTAATTCACGTTGCATAGACTGACATCATGACAAAGAAAATCCCCGATGAAATCATCGCAATATTATCATCTAGCTCTGGCGGCAAAACACTCCAAAGTTGTAAACATGATCATCCGCTGCCAGGTGCATGAATACCAACATCCGCATTGGTGAATTTAAATTACTGTTTGAAACAAGCTTTATTAATCCTGTTTTGTCATATGTAAGTCATAAATAGTAATTATAAAGTGATCTGTGTAATTTGAACTGCCTTAAACTAGTAAATAATGGAAACAAATGGATGTGTTTAGGTTCGTGGTATATCAACTTGAATTTAGGACATACTGAATGAACTTGGACTTACAGGAGTCGATGCTGCGATTCATGTAACTTTTATGACACCAAACTCACACAACTAACCACATTCATACAACCACACAAACTCTCACACCGCACTATTAACCACACACACACACACACGCACCATCATCACTGTCAGCCAT